CAGATATTTATAGTGTTGGGATGTTAATGTGGGAAATATTTGCAGGTCATCCACCATTTGATGATGAGGCACATGATTTTTGTTTGCAATTAAAAATATGCAAAGGTTTACGACCACCAATATTACCAGGAATGCCTGATGATTATGTACAAATGATGCAAAGATGTTGGGATGTGGATCCAGCCAAGAGACCAACTAGTAGAGAGCTTTGGGTTTTTTCTCGTAATGAATTTAAAACTGTGAGTTCTAGTAGTAATATTGGTGGTGGTGGTAGTAATAATAATAATAATAATAATAATAGTAGTAGTAATAATGGTAATTCACAACAAGCACACAAATCACATCCATTAGCATATAATACAAGTAGAATATTAAATGATGAATTTGCTAAATTGAATTTAAGTAATGATAGCTTATTAAACTATGAAATATAATTTAATAGGGAAATTAAATAGTTGATTAATGATTATTTATTAATTTAAAAATGATTATTTATTTATTTAAAAATGATTATTTATTTATTTATTAATTATAATGATAATAGTAATAATAATAATAAGTAGTTAGTTGATAAGGTTTAGTATTTTTAACTCATATTATCTTAAGACCTATCACCATTAATTAGGTATCTTTGGATCCAATAACCTTTAAATAAAAATAAATTAGTTTTATTATTTCTACATCTATTAATATCAATTTGTTGTGCCTTTTGTAAGTATGAATCACTACTTGAGTATTTCTTAATTAATATTGTATTGGTTAGATATCAATTAACTTATTTGAAAAGAAATAAAACTTGCCACATTAATAATGCTTTACTGGATTCAGCGCAAGAGATTCATGAGATCAAAATCATTTCTCAATCTGAAAATGAGTGCTATATAATTTGGATTAGCAGTATTTTGTTAGTTGTGCATACGCATAGCGTGTGTAGGCTTACATGAGCATTATGGGGTAATAGAAAAAAATTTCGCTTGCTGTGCCACGAACTATGCGCGGCACATCATTAGCTCTATAGTGTATGTAAGTATGTATGTACATTAATTATTATTTAAGAATATTAATTTATGACTCCATTAAAGTTATGTATCTTATTTTCTTAGATTAATTATTAGAGAGCATGTAGCAGCCAAATCGGAAATTATCCATTATGATAATGGAAAATTATTCGGTGTTCTTTGAATTTTTTATTAATATTTTGTTTATTTTAATAGATAATGATAAATCTCATGATTTTGTAATAAAAGATACTCGGAGAACAGTTTTCTTATTAATCTATGGAAATGAAAATTCGTCAATTGATTTGTTGTTTCTTAAATTATTTGTATGTTCGAAATATCAGCACAGTTGATAAAAATGGATATGAGAATTAGAGATGTAATCGATTATCAATTGAATTAAATATTTAAAAATAAATTGCAAGCACAATTGATGACAACAATTTGTTACAAGCATAACAATAGGCATAATTAATAACAAGACTTTTTCTGATGCGGGACAACAAATCATTTTGTTACGAAACAGACTTAGTTCACAGTCTGTTGATAACTCATAGTTACGATACGCATTAGTATGTTGTATGCCGTAACTGTTTATCTTTTCTTTTATATGTCTGAATTAAGCAAATCAAAAAATAACCTAGGTATACATATGGCACTTGCCGTATGCCATATTATTGTCGTAACCCTCAAGTGTTCATATGTTTGTAAAACCGTGTTTTTTTGAAGCGAAACAAAAATTTTTACCCATAAAGAATAATAATTGACTTTTTTTTGATATAAAATCGATTCTTTCAATTTGCCAATCAGTTTTTTGATTTTTCGTTTCGATTTCAATTATCGATTGTGAAAATCAATCGATTAATTAATGATAATAATAATAAGGAACTTGGAATTAATTCAGTAGTTGTTATTAAATATGTATTTATTTGTGATTAAACTATATTTTTCCTCAAATGTAAGTTTATCAACATCACCATGCACCATTATACCCTTCATTACCAGAAGCAGATGAATTATCAGATTGGTATTACTAAATATTGATTATCGATTAATTGATCAATTATTGATTATAATGTTAATAATTTTTAAATTAACTAAAAATGTGTTTGTATTATTGTTTCTAGATGGATCTCGGTCAATCCAGAAATACTCGGATTGATCAATACAAGCAAGGTTTGATAGAGATTTTATCATTAGCGCTGATCCATATTTTAACATAGTACAATCCATTCGCTACATGGTAAACATATAATTTTCATAAAAACTTTTCCATTGTATATATATATATATATACATAGAAAATAATTATTATAATGTTTTAATAACGAACAATCCTAATTATATTATCAAAAACTTTATGTGTGCTTATTATAAATAAAATGTTGTATTTATCATCTTTCAATAAACTATAAAGCAAATATATGACAATTTACTTACTAAATTACAATGCTTCAAAGACTGTAAATCTATTTAGATACACTCTCCATTCTCTTGCAATTAGCCCATAATGCGAGTGTGAATGTGACTTTATTTCACCTACTAGGACATTATGATTTGGCCAGTATATTATTTTTCAAATTTTATCAATTAGATAAACCATTTGATAATATTTATAGTTTAATGGATTATGTTGGTAATCATGATTTTTAATTTTTAAAATCATGTATATTTTGATCTTTAACACTTTAATATAATGAATGTAAACAGTGTCATCCAACTTTATTTCATTTTAGTTGGATGTTATTTTTTTATGTTAAAATTTCGAGTTGATCATGCAGATTCTTGCCATTTGATTACCATTTTTCTAGTAATTGTTATGCAAATTGTTGTTATTGCGATTGTAAATAATTGTAAATAATTGCAATTATAACAAAGTGCAAAAAGAGCTCTGTTAGTAGACTTATTAAACTGAATTTTTTAGGAAGCATGAGAACAAAACAAGAAGACAAAGCATTGTATTGAGAACAATTTTTCTGTGTTATTTAAATAATCGACATCAAATTTTTTTGAGATTAAAAAATCAAGCTAAAATAAATGTCCTAGTTCTCGATCCAAAATACTCATTTTTTTATGCTGGCTAGGTATGCAAAAATCACATTTGTTGCAAATATAGAAGATTTGATGTGGTCGCGAAGCAATTATTTTTTAAAAAAAAATTTGCAGAATAATTAAATTACAAGACCATGCGTGATTTTCATGATATCACTCTGATTTATTTTCTATCATTGCTATTCATTGTTAGTATTAGAAAAAGAAGTAAGCGATGGTAGTTAAAGCTTTTGTTGAGCTCTGTAGCCTTTGCATAATTGTACAACAATTTGATCAAGAAAATTTAGAGTTTGAGGAGTATGTACATTTATCATTTACATGTCACAAGTTAATAAGAATATAATATACGTGGCAGTGGCGACAAAGTCGCTTGTAATAGCAATTTCTAATTAATATATATATAAAAAAGAGATTTATTTATTTTTAATGATTAAAAAGTTGTTACATGAATAAATAATATGAATAATAAAAAAATAGCATATACATTGTTCAC